GTTTTAAAGAGCTTAGACAGGTCATTTAAATAATATTTACATTAACTGGTTGTATTCAAGTAAAAAATTCTTTAATATCACTGAATCATATTGATTACATTAGGTTACACAAATGGGGGAAAAAAATAACCATTTGCATAAAAAAAGTGTAATTTTTGTTTTTATGTTTATATAATTTAATAGTATTTATTAATATTTAGAATTAGCTTTTATTTTTACATTTAATATTTTTATTGAGCTTTAGTTTTTTTGTTTTAGTTTTAGCTATTTTAGTATTTCAGCTTAAACTTATATCAGTTAGTTGCCAAGGCTACATTTGTCATTGTTAATTGTTTAAGCTTATTAAGTTAATGTTTTCCACCAAATATTTATATTTTATTTTATTTCCACTTTTTACAATTACATTTTTTTTGCGTCAAGGCGTAAGCGACAAGGCGTAAGCAACAAAAGTAAGTTAATGCAGATGAAAATATCTTTTTGCTAACAGTGAGTTTTTAAGCTCTTAAGTCTATTTAACAGAAACACTGACTGACCAGTAATGTCAGAACCAAATATATAATTATTCTGTTTATTATGAAAATTTGCCATGTTACAATTGCAATTATTAAAGTTATATATCATAAAAATGATTTATTGATATCACATATTCTTCAACTCTCATTTTGTGAAGAGAGGCTGATTTCATGTGTTTCCCTTTTCAGATTATTCCTATTCCCCTGTTTCAGTGCAACAACTGACTTTATGGATTTGTGCAATGTAAATAACACAATATGGGATCAACACACCGTCTTGGCATCTGGAGCCAGTCCAGCTGGAGGGACAGATGCATTTTGCTTCTCCATTCACAGCAATACACTCGCCACCGTTCCAACAGCCACCATCACAAACCACTGACAAACACAACACAAACACAAACACAAACACAAACACAGACAACACATATACATAAGTTAAAAGCTGTGTTGATGGACTCATATTTTTTTTTCTTGACTATTAATTTTTTAGGGTTCAACTTGCAAACAACTACTAAAAACCTAATGGAAATTAATTCACACTACCTTTGTGACAGTATTTTCCTCCAAATCCTGAATGGCATCTGCATTTTCCAGGTCGAAGGCACTCTCCACCGTTTTTACACTTTGGATAACAGTTAGCTGAAATCAACATGCAAATCATGTGAGTTTTGGCCAATTATAAATATATAAAGCACAAGTTTCACACACACACACACACACACACACACACACACACACACACACACACACACACGCACGCACATACACAAACACACTTTCCATTCAAATACATTGCAGAACAAGTATCTTGAAACCTCACCATATTGGCAGGTTTCTCCCTCATATCCTCTTGAGCAGAAGCAGCTGTTGTTTCGGATGCAAATCCCGGCATGTTTGCAAGGTGGGTCGCACGTCGCTTTGGGGTCAAAGACAAAAGGAAGAGCCACTCCACGGGGCCCATCGGACCCTCCCAGACAGATCCCAGCCAGAGTGGCCAGTGCCGCTAGCAAGAGCTGCATGGATGTACAGCAAAGCACTGCCATTTTTAAACCACACTCTTACAAGGATCCAGAAGGACTGAGATTGCTAGTGAATGTATGTTTGGACAGCATACTGCATTGTGATCATCTACTGGACAGGCATGGTACCGCAAGGAGACACAGCTGGAAAAGTACCAACTAAGGAATGTGTGAGACAGGATTGAGAGACACACAAGCTCAGAGAGTGTGTGTTTAGACGAGTGTGTGTCGTTGTCTGTGGTTTATGGCTGTCTGAAACTTCATCACCAAGTGGTCCCAAATGGTATTCTGACATCAAGTGGCATTTATTTCTTTTGATTTCTTATTTCTAAAATGACTGTTTTCTATTTTAATACATTTTAAAATGTGATTTATTCTTGTGATGGCAAAGCTGAAATTTTGTAGAATTCTTTGATGAATAGAAACGTCAAAAGAACAGCATGTATGTTAAATTTAATTTTTTTGTAACACACTTTCTCACTTTTGATCAATTTAATGTATCCTTGTTGAATAAAATTAAATAAAAAAAATTAAATAATTTCCAAAAATTATTGTTTATATATATACAGTATATATATATATATATATATATATATATATAAAAGCATATTTATGTGTGCCCAAATATGTTTTGGGACCATAAAAGAGAACAGTGAAAAGACAATAACACATTAAAATGTTGCTTTATAGCATAATTTCTAACAGCTATAGTGACTATCTGCAGTTTTTATGAAGTCCAGTTGCGTCTTATGTTGTTTAAAATAACATATTTTCTTTCATGTATTTTATTCACTTTGCAGATCCCAGGAAATGGGGGAAATAGATTCTGCAGATGTCCTGAGAATTTTCCTCCTCCTCAATGAAATTCCAGCTCCAACAGCTAACGTATTTCCCTCTGTCAACTATGTATATGAACTAAAATTGAATTTAGGTCGATTTTTAATGCTTAGTTATTTGTTGTTTTTAGTCATCATTGTTAAATGCTTTGTTGGCAAGCCTGACTCCAGCATATGATGAATGTCACACTTCCAGACTGTTCAGTAAGTAACAGGACATATTGTAACTCTATCTGCCTGAAATCAAGGCATGTAGAAACATCACATGCTCTTTGTTTCAGAGGCCCATTAAAGTTGAACCAGAAGGAGCTGCTGTTCTGGAACATGAGAGGAAGTGAGTAGGAACTTTAACAGATGTGCAGAATCGTTTTTTTTTTTTTTAAGTACCATGGCCTTAACTGCTACAGACTTTGGTGGTGGACCACCACAGGGGGACACAATGCCCCAATATTAATAGTTAAATAAATGGTTTCAACCCCAAAACTCCAGATGGTGTTCTATTCCTGTATTGAGGTACCATATCCTGTATGGACCATCTTGTGGAATATCGCAGCAGCAATCACACTTTTCTCTACAAAACAAACATTTGGTTTTATTTTAATTCAACTAAAAGCAAGAGACGACTATATTACCACACACACACACACACACACACACACACACACACACACACACACACACACGCACGCACATACACAAACACACTTTCCATTCAAATACATTGCAGAACAAGTATCTTGAAACCTCACCATATTGGCAGGGTTCTCCCTCATATCCTCTTGAGCAGAAGCAGCTGTTGTTTCGGATGCAAATCCCGGCATGTTTGCAAGGGGGGTCGCACGTCGCTTTGGGGTCAAAGACAAAAGGAAGAGCCACTCCACGGGGCCCATCGGACCCTCCCAGACAGATCCCAGCCAGAGTGGCCAGTGCCGCTAGCAAGAGCTGCATGGATGTACAGCAAAGCACTGCCATTTTTAAACCACACTCTTACAAGGATCCAGAAGGACTGAGATTGCTAGTGAATGTATGTTTGGACAGCATACTGCATTGTGATCATCTACTGGACAGGCATGGTACCGCAAGGAGACACAGCTGGAAAAGTACCAACTAAGGAATGTGTGAGACAGGATTGAGAGACACACAAGCTCAGAGAGTGTGTGTTTAGACGAGTGTGTGTCGTTGTCTGTGGTTTATGGCTGTCTGAAACTTCATCACCAAGTGGTCCCAAATGGTATTCTGACATCAAGTGGCATTTATTTCTTTTGATTTCTTATTTCTAAAATGACTGTTTTCTATTTTAATACATTTTAAAATGTGATTTATTCTTGTGATGGCAAAGCTGAAATTTTGTAGAATTCTTTGATGAATAGAAACGTCAAAAGAACAGCATGTATGTTAAATTTAATTTTTTTGTAACACACTTTCTCACTTTTGATCAATTTAATGTATCCTTGTTGAATAAAATTAAATAAAAAAAATTAAATAATTTCCAAAAATTATTGTTTATATATATACAGTATATATATATATATATATATATATATATATAAAAGCATATTTATGTGTGCCCAAATATGTTTTGGGACCATAAAAGAGAACAGTGAAAAGACAATAACACATTAAAATGTTGCTTTATAGCATAATTTCTAACAGCTATAGTGACTATCTGCAGTTTTTATGAAGTCCAGTTGCGTCTTATGTTGTTTAAAATAACATATTTTCTTTCATGTATTTTATTCACTTTGCAGATCCCAGGAAATGGGGGAAATAGATTCTGCAGATGTCCTGAGAATTTTCCTCCTCCTCAATGAAATTCCAGCTCCAACAGCTAACGTATTTCCCTCTGTCAACTATGTATATGAACTAAAATTGAATTTAGGTCGATTTTTAATGCTTAGTTATTTGTTGTTTTTAGTCATCATTGTTAAATGCTTTGTTGGCAAGCCTGACTCCAGCATATGATGAATGTCACACTTCCAGACTGTTCAGTAAGTAACAGGACATATTGTAACTCTATCTGCCTGAAATCAAGGCATGTAGAAACATCACATGCTCTTTGTTTCAGAGGCCCATTAAAGTTGAACCAGAAGGAGCTGCTGTTCTGGAACATGAGAGGAAGTGAGTAGGAACTTTAACAGATGTGCAGAATCGTTTTTTTTTTTTTTAAGTACCATGGCCTTAACTGCTACAGACTTTGGTGGTGGACCACCACAGGGGGACACAATGCCCCAATATTAATAGTTAAATAAATGGTTTCAACCCCAAAACTCCAGATGGTGTTCTATTCCTGTATTGAGGTACCATATCCTGTATGGACCATCTTGTGGAATATCGCAGCAGCAATCACACTTTTCTCTACAAAACAAACATTTGGTTTTATTTTAATTCAACTAAAAGCAAGAGACGACTATATTACGAATAAAAAGAGTAATGTGCTATTTCAGTCTAACCCACAAAGTAATCAGACACTAAATACATTGTTTTTAATTTATTCAGTGCTTACTAATTTAACTCACCATAACATGAACACTACTGTAATATGATAAGATGGAAATAAATAAATATTATGATTTTTAATAAAACGTGATCTCGCCAGTGTCCTGAGAAAAAAATATATATGGACACAAATTTCGTCAAAGAAATTTCATTTATTGATAAATCCTTTCCCTAAAATAACATTTAAATAAAATACCATTTAAAAAGGTTTTGATGTAAAAGTGCCATTCCAACAAAACAAGACAAGCAAAAGGGTTAAAGTGAACGAGAAACATCTAAGTTATCAATGATCTACACCAACACGAAAAAAATTATGGTTGAATTTGACTAATAGGACAAAAGAAATGCTTTAAGAACAATTAACAGAAGTCCATTTTTATAATAAAAAAGTAATATCCTTCTTTTTTATTCAATTTTTTCTTAACTAATATGGTATTCCATAGGCTCCTGCTGAGGTAAATTTATATTTATTTTAATATACATTTTATTATGACACCTGATTCATGTTCCGCTTTGTACTGGCCTCAGAACGGCCCACTTCATTTTGTTTAGTTTGTTTTTTAAACGTAGTTTAGACCTTCATTCCCTTAGAACAGAAATTGTGGAATTTTTTTTTTTTTTTAATTACTGCAGACTTAGATGTTGGAAAAATCCAAAATATGGATTAATACAAAATTCCCATAAACTCATGAACTTCTGAAAGCTGGCATGTTGTTGTATGTTAACACCATAGTCCAAAAAAATCAAAAGAGTACCTGCTCTGCAAAGAGATAAATAACAATAAAATGAGCATGACTGAATGGAAATTGCAGCACACTGCTTAACATGTTTAACAAAACAAACGCACAAGAAAAAATAAAATTGTAACGGAGTGGTTTGAGTGTTTGCAGCTCTATGTAAAATATTCTGCTGCTGTCATCCCTTCTCCCAAAATGTACTAAAGTGCTTCTGTCTATCCAAGCAAAACCTTCAGTGCTGTGCTAAAGAATCGATAATGATGGTGTAGAAAGACATCAGTGCTCTGGCTGAAACTTGCTGATCAATCCTGACGTTGTCACCCTACAGTACAGACTTCATCTTCTGCCATTTGCAACACTCAGGACAAGCTTTTGTTTCACGACATGGGAACATGAGGGACTGTGGGTCATACGGAGGGGCGTCACTGTATCACACTCATGTGTCAACGTGAAGACGTGGTGTTTGAGCCACAGTCCACGTACAGGTACTTCTCCTGAGACACCTGCTCAACGTGGCCAAAGTACAAGACAGTTACAGTCATCCTGGAGAGACGAGAACATAGTATCAATCAAATGGAAATGCTCTTATATAATATTAATATTAATTTATTATATATTATAATAGTTTGGTTAATGCTTATTTTATCTAATAAAGATCTACCATTCTTTTCAACAGAAATACACTGAATACAATAACAAAAAAATGCATAAAGTAACATTTTTCGAAATAAAAATGTCTAAATATTTTTTCAATCTGTTCTTTTACATAAACTCTTTCAACAAACGATTCTTAAAATGAATCAGATTTTTCATTAAAGAATACTTACTGCATCATGACAACAATGTTATGCACTTTAATTGACTGCATGGTACAGAAGTCACTGTAAAAACAGATGCGCAATCAGTAAGATAAACTGTCTTTATAAAAGTTTTATTATAATATAACACCTGACTGGCAAATACTCACAATATGTAGTTCATCTCATTTGCTATGATGGTGGGAACAGTGTAATCAACCTAAAAATGAAACATTGACATTGATAACAGTTGTTATCTAAGTAATTACACATATGTGACCCTGGACCACAAAACCAGTCTTAAAGGGTTAGTTCACCCAAAAATGAAAATTCTGTCATTAATTACTCACCCTCGTGTTGTTCGAAACCCGTAAGACCTTTGTTCATCTTCGGAACACAATTTAAGAAATTTTTGATGAAATCTGAGGGCTCTCTGACCCTCCCATGGACAGCAAGGTAACTACCACGTTCAAGGTCCAGTAAAGTACCAAGATGATCGACAAAGTAGTCCGTGTGACATCAGTGGTTCAACTGTAAAGTTACGAAACTACGAGAATACTTTTTTTGCGCAAAGAAAACAAAAATAACGAGTTTATTCCACATTTTCCTTTCTACTGCGTCACTTGTGGATGCGCGTTCACGACAGTATCATGACGCGAGCGTGTGGCGGCGCGGACCCAGATCCGGCGTAATGATGTCATCACGCCAGATCTGGGTCAGTACCGGCGCCACCACACGCTCGCGTCATGGTACTGTCGTGAACGCGTCCAAAGTGACACAGTAGAGACGAAAATGTGGGGAAGAAAAAAAAAACAAGGTATTCTTGTAGCTTTGTAACTTTACAGTTGAACCGCTGATGTCACACGGACTACTTTGTTGATCATCTTGGTACTTTTCTGGACCTTGAACGTGGTAGTTACCTTGCTGTCTATGGGAGGGTCAGAGAGCCCTCAGATTTCATCAAAAATATCTTAAATTGTGTTCCGAAGATGAACAGAGGTCTTACGGGTTTGGAACAACACGAGGGTGAGTAATTAATGATAGAATTTTCATTTTTAGGTGAACTAAGAGGTTAAGTGTCAATTTTTTTAGAAATTGGGATTTATACATTATCTGAAAGCTGAATAAATAAGCTTTCCATTGATGTATGGTTTGTTATGATAGGACAATATTTGGTCGAGATACAACTATTTGAAAATCTGGAATCTGAGGGTGCAAAAAAATCAAAATATTGAGAAAATTGCCTTTAAATTTGTCCAAATTAAGTCCTTAGCAATGCATATTACTAATCAAAAATTAAGTTTTGATATATTTACGGTAGGAAATTTACAAAATATCTTCATGGAACATGATCTTTACTTAATATCCTGATGATTTTTGGCATAAAAGAAAAATCAATAATTTTGACCCATACAATGTATTTTTGGCTATTGCTACAAATATACCCCAGCGACTTAAGACTGTTTTGTGCTCCAGGGTCACACATAGAGAAGAACTCAGATTACAAAGTCATGCAACTAAATCAAACAGCCTTATTGGGAAGGATAAAGGTCACTTATTTCTTTCGGTTATCTTAAAGTGTTAAACTGACGTGATTTTCCTCACCATGAATACAAATTTGAAACAGTAAGGACATGGATTAGTAAAGTTGTATTATACACTTTTATTATATTTTATATGTTTCTACAGCAGCATACTATAACATATATTATATGACTACTAATAATTTTATATTAATACATATTTCAATAAATTACTCATTATATAATTACTACAAAGGTAAAATTGTACAGATAATATTTACAACATTTGTTTTGGGCTTATAATGAAAAATAGTATTATTGAAATATGTATTAACATAAAATTATTATTAATTAATTAATATATCTGAATGAATTAACATGTACCTGACGCATATCCAGGGGGGTGATAGTGGTGACATTACTGACAACAGACTTTCCGATAACAGTCTTGTAGAACTGCACCTGTGCTGTGATGTTGGCAACGTGTATTGGGTAGTAATTATTGTTGGTGATGTTCAGGGTATTCTGAGAAAGACAAAAAAATACTCTTATTTAATACAGTTAAATAAAAACATGGCAACAAAAACTAACAAAATACCCTGACTTTGCCAAAAGTCCCATCTGATCTCACTATCAAGTCCAATCCCTCCACACAAAGAACAGAATCACAAATTAAACAGGTATTTTTGATCAACAAGCCTGAAATACAAATGAAAAGGGTTTGCTACAGATATTACCGTGATATTTAGATAAATGATCCGCTGGTCTCGGTCGTATGTGACGTAGGCTGACTTCACCCCAACATAAGAGACATCAATAGCTCGAGGGAACAGGAAGAATACAGCCAAACCAGAAAGTAGCAGACACAGAACGACTGATAAAGACACGTACAATGTCCTGGGATAGCGCAAGAATATACAGTCAGTTATGAAATATAGTATATATCCAATGCTGATTTGAAACGGATATTGAAATGAACTTGCGTTCGTCTTGGCTTCAGCCTCTGGTCACTGTATGGTATCAGAGCAACTAGCTGGTTTTCTTGGTCTTTGAGAATGTCCAGGATAGGAAGTACACATAATTACATTTTTACAAGTCCAAATAACGATTTATTCAAGCAATTTATTGATGCCACTGAGATAAAGAACAATTTATTAACGTTAAACATTTAGTTTCAGCTATATGTTCATATTACATATAAAGTGATGGATGGACAGATCTGTTCTCACCTCTAGGTATCCTCCCCGTCCCTTGACAAGTAGGACAGGTGATGCTGTCTCTGCCTGTGAATTCGACATATGGAAACTGTGACACGTCATGTTTATTGTCCTCAATGGGAGACTCTGTGTTTTCAGTCAGGTTCTCCTGCTCCTCTTTTTGCTTTGGCAAGGAAAACAGAGACTTCCCCATGGTTGGGCCTGCCTTCAGAGAAAGAAATCATCTGTGAAATGTAGTGAATTACAGTGCAAGTCATGAAAGATCACTCATATCTAGATGTTTATGCAGTGGTGAACTTGAACATATCATCCACGTGACAAAGTATGACACTGCAGGCTGTTTTATAATGTCATGCTGTCTATAAGATATACATTATTTTAATATATTATGATGTTATCAACATATTCTGGCTGAGGACACAGTGTACGGCCGACAATCTCATGTTCTTGATAGGGCGTAATATTGATGCTTTAGCAATGCAAAATTAAAATGCACTTACTTGACTTCATATTAACGCATTTAGATCGATGCATTTAAAGAGCATTATTAACACGCACGCGACGAACATGGATCGTGATGTAACAGCAAATGGGCCTAAAACAGGTCACGCACTATACGAAATGACTCTTATTTTAAGGTTCGATATGACAATATAGCGAATAGGATAGGAATCAATGTATTTTACCTTCGATTGAAGGGTCCTGCCTTCTGTTTGTATAAAATTACAGTTGCTATATCGTCATTACTCTGTTCCAACAATGTTGATATTGTCCCCCACCCGTATTCTAAGAAGCCCCGCCTCCTGCATTAATAAGCGGCAGACGGTACATTGTGGACGTTGTGTGATTGGACGATAGCTATGTGCGACACTATTACAAGCCAATCATATTAGAGAAGGCGGGATTTGCTACTAAGCCCCGCCCCACTGTTTATAGTTGCAGATCAAGCTTCAAGGCCGTGTGTGCTGTTAAAACGTGCAATGTTTTGCTCTGGGTGTAATTTCCTTTATTTACTAAAACGACTGTTGATATGCACGTTGCGCTAGATATGCTCATGATTAGAACTAAAAATTAAAACATTGCATCTTAAAAGTAAAATAATAAATATACGAAACGTTACTAAGGACTTACCTAGAAACATAGATATGAAATATCTGTTTACTTAATCTACTTACAAGCATAATGATTGACAGCTTTCATCAAATATGCTGTGACAGGAAGGGAAAAATTTGGCTGGACAGATAGAAAGGAACAGTACAGATTCGTTTTTTTCCCAATACAAAGAAAAAAAAACAATTATATGACTCATTCGTTTTTTGTGCAATCAAAATGAGAAAAGTGCTCAACCACCAAGTAGGCATGTGGTTAACTCTTCTCAAATTGATTTCCTGATAATAGTTATCATCAGACAATCCATCAAAAAAGTGACAGTATACACACAGTGAACAGAGGAAATTTATCATTTACAAATATATAATATATATGTGTAGGCCATAACAATGTTTTCTTATATCTGTACTTTACATTTAACATTTTTTTGTACTGAAAATGTAAAACTTATCTGCCTATATTGTAACTGACTCGAAAACTTTCGAAAATAAACCTACACTGAGAAATAATCACATCTAGCCATAGTGTTCCTCTATATATTTGTTATTTATTGATTTTATAGAATTACAAATACATCCAGGGGCTAGGCTACATTAGGATAAGCAAAGATACATAAATAATAATAATAATAATATTAATATAAAATCAAAGGATAGAAATAAAGTTTAAAAATATTAAAATGCTTACAAATAGAATGCATTTACAGCGCTCTTATTTTTCAAATATAAAATTATTTTTTAGATATTGCTAAACTTCTGTCTTTAAAATTAAAATAAAAGTTTAAAAATGTACAAAAAAACATCCATGTCAGTGTTCCCCTATATAGGCCTATATATGATCATCATGAAACTGAAGAGGATCTGTTTATCATGGCCACATGACGAATGACTTCTTCTGTGTTTACTAACAAAATAACTTTAGTAGTTAACCGAGACATTGTTCAGTTAGACTCGAGAATCTAACTAGGTTACTTGGCAAAGACATGGGAAGTATCAAAACTTGTAATCTTGGCGATCATTAACTCGGCCTTCAGAGACTGGCAGTGGAATAAACCATTTCTCTCACTAAACGTGGATTACAGGGCGTTGTAATATTAAACGTTTTGGGTTAATCTTGTCAAACCGGATGCGCAGTCACAGAATACTGTTCCAGAATACCGTATATTATTGTTCAGGAACCAAAAGAAATGTATAAAATTCCGTATTTTTAAATACGCAAACTATTGTTCTCTTTTGGACCCCTATGATCGTACGCGCATTTTGCTTGCAGCGGCCCCGCCGAACTCACCTGAGTTTCGGGTTACACGTTCATACCTCACTGAAGGAGTAAACGGAGGGCGCGCCATAAAACCAAGAAGAAGAAGAAAAAGAAGAACGGAGGGCGCACCTGCCTGACAAAATACAGCTGCAGTGTCGACACTTACTCGGATTTTCTTTACATACTTTTGAGGAAGTTAAAGTTGGATGTTTTAAAGCTCATATGTTCTGAAAGATTTTGAGAAAATATGTCGCAGGGTATAATCTTTACCCTCCTCTTGATCACAGGTAGGGGCGTTTCTTCTTATGCTAATGCTTTGTGGTCACTTCTTCGTCAGTTAGTGCAGTGTTTCCCAACCGGGGTGCCGTCTGTCGAGAGCAGGGGTGCAGTGTAAAAAATAATTTAAATTTTTTTTTTATATATATTTTTAAAATGCTAAAATGTTCAAAAAAGCATCTATTATATAATATCCATTTCTGATGTCGCCAATAATTAGAGATGCACCGAAATTTCGGCTGCCGAACATTAGTTCACCGCTCAGGATTCACTTTCACGTGGTGTGACGCTCTGCGTATTATCCGCTCAATGCTTGTGTGCTCCGCTCAGTCGCTCACGGCCCATGTGAGTGCTCCACTCGTATACCGTTCATACGAATCGGAACAGCAAAGTCCACTCAAAAATTGAGCCGACAGGAAACATCGATGTAGTACAGTATTGTATTCAATTCAAAGTTTGAAATCAAGCTATCTCGCGCTACTGCACCAAAATTACCCCACTGTAAAATGAAAAAAAAAACACTGAGTGAGCAAAAATTTGTGAGATAGCTAGTTATAATGGTAATTAAATAATGTTTACATATGTATAAAAGCCTACATTAAAATCTGTCATATAAATTGGTCTCTTCATTAGAAATTAGCCTACTGATTGCGACCATTGATGGACACATTTTTTAAATAATATTAAAAATAACTGTATGACATTATATTCTGCAGTTCTTCCCTGTTGTACCGAATATCTATACTTTTCAAATTATCATATCGAAGTTAGAAATTCAAATATTGTGACAAAATTAATTTTGTAGGGTGCCACAAGTTTGTTAACATTTCCAAAGGGTGCCGCGACTAAAAAAAGGTTGGGAAACACTGAGTTAGTGTATGTGTATAGAAAAATATCAATAGATGATCAGATTTTATTTTATTACAGCGCTGGAATTCATGGAGGCCATATTCACCTATCAGTTGATATAGGATTTGTCTCATAATTTATTAAAATTGAGTGACCAAGGGCTATAATAATTGTTTGTGCATTAATCCTTCACTTATTCATATTACTATAGTAACCAGCATCTAAATATCAGATTATGAGTACAAATCCAAATCCATTTTGATATATATCTCAGGTATTCACACATGTTGTGCAATAGGGTTCCACTTTGTCTTATTCGAATTTGCTTAAAGATGACATATTATGCCCCTTTTTACAATATGTAATATAAGTCTCAGGTGTCCCCAGAATGTGTCTGTGAAGTTTCAGCTCAAAATACCCCACAGATCATTTATTATATCATTTTGAAAATGCCTATTTTGAGTGGAAGCGGAAACATGCTTTATTAGAGCATGTCTCTTTAAATGCAAATTAGCTGTTGTTCCCCGCCCCCTTTTCCAGAATAGAGCTGCGCTAAAAACATCTGTTTTGGTTCTGGTTATCATGTTTATGGCGTTGAAATCATGCGTTTTAAAACATATTAGTTTAAAGGGGTCATATGATGTTGCTAAAAAGAACATTATTTTGTGTATTTGGTGTAATGAAATGTGTTTATGCGGTTTAAGGTTAAGAAAACACATTATTTTCCACATACTGTACATTATTGTTTCTCCTATGTGCCCCGCCTTTCTGAAACATGTCGATTTTTACAAAGCTCATCGGTCTGAAAAGCGAGGTGACAGAAAGCGGCTGTCACAGCATGTGAGTACTAAACTAAGTTCTCATTCACACACAAGCTTACGTTAAAAACACACATGAGTTACAAAAATAGGCAGTTATGACTGTGAAGGTAAACAGCTGGGGAATAATTTGCATGTTTATTTTAGATCAGTGTGGCAGCAGCAATATACAGTAAATAAATAAAAAAATCCACTGCTCTCTTGTCTCCTCTGAGGCTGGGACTCTAAACACTGTTCTGTGCTCATCAGTCCAGCTAATGACAGAACAGTTAGCATGTTTTGCTCAAACTTTCGCCATGGCATTAGAACTAGTACACCGTTGTCGCTTGCGAAAACACAATAACGGCGCCGTGGGTGGAAACTTACAGATTAAGGGGCGGTAATATTATAATGAGATCCCTTTGCCACATCACCAAGGGAGCGAAATCTGACGAGCTCGTTTTCTCAGGTGCTTGCTGAAAAAGGCTTACCAAAACAAAGTTACTGGATTAATCTTTTTCACGTTTCCTTGGTTGGTAGATGCACCGGGGACCTGATTATAGCACTTAAAACCTGGAAAGTCAGATTTTCATGATATGTCACCTTTAAGTGCATTTGGTGTTTGTTGTTAAGGGAACAAGTAATGTGGATTGTGTGGGAGGTGGTCATGTCGTATTCAGACGGAAATGGTTTTGGTCAGACAGTGAGTCACATTCGATGAGCTCTTTTAAAACTAACACTAACTTACAACCTGATGTCATAATGCGATGTCACCTGTGTGTAAATTTTGTAAACCCTTTTTAGTAATCCCAAACATTGCTCAGAATTGAGTGTTTTTGGAGTCTATGGCTTGTAAAGGCCCTCCATGTGTCATGGCATCCGGTTTCAAGGTATTATTAAACAGTTTTGCCTGAAAAGACAGTTTAATTGTCGCTTCTGTGAAAGACTATTGTTCCGTGGGCTGTATGTTAGGGGTTTTCCTTTATTTTGGACCTATCAGGTCTAACAACAGGAATATGCCTATTAATCAGGCATGAAATGTCACATTTTGTATTTATATCTAGCAGTACCTCCTAATAGATAACCATAACCCTCAGAGAGTCATGTATGTTAATATATTTTCTTCCTCAAAAGTGTTTTCACCGATTTTAAAAATACAGTTCAAATTAATATATAAATGTTCCTTCCAAAATTATGATAATTTTCAGATTTGAGCAGCTGTTGTTTATAATTTGAACTCTTATTCAGTTAAACATATTACTGAAGATATTACATTGAACATTGCTTTGAACATTTATTGTGATTTTAGTCTGTTAGAGCAAATAAATACAGCCTATCTCCTGACTTTGACAGCTAGAATGATGATTTAAACACAGCTATTATCATGACTCACTGGTGAAAAACTAGTGATTTTAGTGACTGAAAGATCATTTTCAAGTGCACCGCTTGCTTCCTGAGCATTCAGAACACTTTCAATAGATCTAAGCCCAAGAGAAGTTAGTTTATTATTTGAATAGACTAAAGATAAATTTGACATCTTCACTGACACAATCAGTTTTCATGTGGTTCACCTGGTTTAGTATAATCTGTTCCCTTGTGTTTAAGAATATTTTTTACAGAAAGTCTGAAGACTTTTCATAAGAGCCTTTTAATGTCTTTTGACATGGTTTGAGTCTTTCTTTGTTATTACCTGAAAGGATTTTTAGTCCAGTCTGGATGTTATTTGATCTCCACTGTATTCTTAATTCATGTCTAGATTCATGGGAATGTCGTAAATCTCCCTGTGTTTCATTTATTTGTGGATGCTGTTATATTCAAATGTGTTTCCTCTCCTACAGGCTGCACCACAGCAGTCAACGTGGTCTGCCCTTACCCACGACACGTAGTCATATTATTCCAGCCGGTCACGCTCCGCTGTGATTTCACTACAACAGCTACAAACCCACCACTGATCACCTGGAAATACAAGTCCTACTGCAGAGACCCGATACAAGCTGCATTAAACCCCAGTAGTGCTGACAATGCCATCGCTCAGTCCAACCCAAACTACAACCCTAACATAGAGTGTGCAGACAGCGCCAGGACCGTTCGCATAGTAGCTTCGAAACAAACAGCGGTCACACTTGGGAGCGAGTACCAGGGCCGTCAGATCAGCATCACAAATAGTAAGTTGACTTTGTGAAAGTATTTTGTATTGTTTTTTTATTTAATATACATTATTCATTTATTACATTTTCATTTAATTTCTTTATTTTATATAGTATTTCTTTGTTTGTTTTTTATTTTATTATTTATAAGATTGTGTTTATATATTTGTTTTTTTATCTTCATTACCACCACACCTGTGTAAATGTGCCTGGTTTAGCCATAAAACTTGCAAAGATTTCAAATATGTACATTGTACAAGTTATGATTTGAGCACCTCTAAAACCTCATCTATTTTGTCTTTTTTAAAATGTATAGATGCAGACCTTAACTTTGCTCAGACCGCGTGGGGTGACAGCGGAGTGTACATCTGTAATGCTGCTTCAGCCCAGGACCTTTCAGGGAATGGCGAGTGTTATACAGAACTCATTGTGCTTGGTAAGTGTTTACCTTCTCACAAACAAACTCACACTGACAGACACCAAACATTTCAATGTGTGGTTTCATCACAAACACAAGCACATGGGGTCACTCATTCAGATTTTGTAGTGTTTGATGGATGTTTGCGTATGTGAGGAATTAGGGCTGTGTTTGATTGGAAATTGTAAAAAAAAAAAAAAAAATGTATTTTTAAATTATTATTTAGTTTTTTTATTTATTGTTTGTGATATTTTGCATTATTTAATGATTTTTTAATTATAATTGTTTTTTATAATTTATTTTCCACCTGGAAGATCACTGTTTGCTTGTGAAGGATTCAAGTCCATTTCTTTCATGTCATAGAAAGCAATAATATATTGATAAATGCTAATATTAATAATTATAGTAGCAGTAGTAATTTTAACTTAAAGGCGTTTTTTTTTCTTCTTTTTTGGGTCAATGCCGTAAGGCCTTTTTCAGTAATTATGACTTTGTCTTTCTTTCACAGAGAGAAAGTCAAATACTACAGACCTGCTGCCTGGCATTGATTTACTGATCATGGAAGGTAGAATAAGTGCTTCTCTCTAGAGGTCTGGTTAAGTTTGAAGCTATACTTGAATCCTTCACCAGCCACAGTCAGGTCTTATTCATTACCAGTGTTGGGAGTAACGCATTACAAAAGTAATAATATTACAGTAGTATATTACTTTTTGCTGTAACGCAGTAATATAACGCATTACTAATAAAATTTGAGTAATATTATTACTCGTTAACAATCTCAGTAACGCAAGTTACAACAACATTTTAACTCAAAATTAAGTGGTGAATTTACTAACACCGCAAAACAGCACCAGAGAAAAAATTCTGCGGGTAAAATAGTTAGTCTATTTCCTGTTGCTGGAATTAGATGGTTGAGATGACTGCAGAGACGGATTCTACATTTGTGAGATGGACACACTCCTGTTATTTTCAGTTCGTCGGAGAAAAGGATAAGAATGCATAGTCGGGTGCAATATGTGTGACACCAAACTCAACATGGAGAAATAGCACGAGTAAAACCTGGAAACACTAAGCTATCGGAGAGAGCCGCGGGTCGGAGAAGTGAAAAAAGGCAGCGGACGAGTGCAGACAAGCAACAAAAATTAAGTTTAACTAAAAATAACAAAATCTGTTTTTATTAAATCATAGTCTATAAAATGAATGAATATGCGAAATATTTGACTTAAATAGCCTAATTAACAGATTAACAAAACGAAAGGAAAAGACTGAGAGATAGACTATGTTGCTGAGTTTGGTTCATATGCTTTTTGTGTGGCGCGGCGCTCTACGAAAGTCCACGGAAAGGAAACCGAGATGACAGAAACAAAAGTAAACACATTGCAGTTTCGAATGATCTGTATGACTAAAAATGACTATTTTTTTGTTGTTTGTTTCTGCTGTTCGATTGCGCCGGCGCCTCACACACACACAGCATTGCAAACGTTGCAGCCTGTTCATTATCAGAATAAAATACAGTCAACCAAACATAGATGCACTGGTTAATTTAAATAGTGCGTACTGTGTAGTTACAATCCATGCCATTCAGCCTGAGCTCGGGCCAAACACACATTTGCTCATGTGAAGAGGATGTTTTTTAAGCACGTTAAGTAAGCCTGGTTTACATAATAAATAATAGTTTAGCATTCAAATACATCGCAAATATGGACACATTTAATGGATTAATGCCGAATGAGAGAGGTAGGCTGCGTGAGAACGCCGTTTGCTTTCAGTTTCGCATTGAATTAGCCTAATTCGTTTTGGCTTTAGCAATTTATATTTTTCATTCTTGTTTTCTTCTGAAACCGTTCAAAAGAGCCTATAGGCTAGGTATTGTGTTTATTGTTTGTATATTATAACATTTTGCTTTATTTACCGGTGTTATTTATGAATGTAATAATGCGGTTTGTGCTTATCTGTGTTTAACCTAAACTACAACGTAACATTAATGTAGACCTACATACCGGTATCTAAATATGATTTTATA